AGAAAAAAAACGGGTCGAAAAAATGCGACACGTGTTGCCGCAGCAGTTAAAAAATTGCCACCGCCCGTTACCAGCTCTCCCAGTTTTCCCAGTTGCCATTTGCCACATTTTGCACATAAAAATAATTGTGTTTACTTTGTTTAATGCGATCAATGCGACAGAGGCTCCAATGGCACCCAATGCCGGAAAATGCCAGGCCCAGACGAGGAAAATTTTTGATGTAAACGTATCTGCAAGATACACATCCAAATGAGTCTGCATCTGCGTTGGTGTATGCTGGGAAATGCCAAAATCTGTCAGGAATCGATTGAAAATTCTCTGCATGCGTATATGTGACTCTCCAACTCCTTCCTTTCGATTCCAACAGGTTTCTGCGACATGCTTTTAAGGGGTATGAAGATTCTTGTTGATTTTATCTAAACAGCAAAATTGTGTGGATTTTTAATTGAAACTCTCTGCTGATTGCACAATGTGTTTGAATTTTGAATTCAGCTTTCGTAATTGAAATAAAGAGCGATAAAATACAATTTATTTGAGAATATCATACATTAAAACGGATTTTTAAACGGAACGTGTTTATGGAAGTTATATTCTAATTATAATTTGAATGTCAGAGGACTTATAGATTTGAAAGGTTAATCTTTTGGGTACAACTGAGGAAAATTGTATTGATTTTCCCTCAACTCTTTAAAGTTTTAGCAATTTGAAACTTTTACATCCCAAAGATATGTTGCAGAATCATTTTCAGACAGACATAGCTCTTTCTGCATCAAATAATTTACAATAAGCCATCTCCATGGTAATGGTTAAAACAAATCTTTCTTGCCCAAAAAAAATAGTTTAAATTGAAGTTGAAAATAGACATTGTGCCTTCAACTACTGACGGGTGTTGCTGTCACGGCCACAGGATGACAGGTGTTGTTAGATTTTCCTATTTTCAGTAAAGGCAAACAAACAGCAACAGAAAAAAGATGGTAAATCCTTGGGTGCATTTTCCTCACACTTTCCTTGCTCTTCAGAGCATTTCCTGCTACTGGCTGGAACGACTGCAGAACATGTCACTAGGAGCAGTCTGGACATTTCAATCAGAGTCCAGTTTGCAGGCCTTTTCCCTGCAATATCCCACACCATCCTGCACCACCTTTCCTCTGGCTATCCCCACTAAGGGCAAGGATGTCCTGGCATGTTGTTGCAAATGCCTAGACACGACACGATTTCCTGGCTATTGCCATTGACTCCAGCCAATTCGCATCCAACTCTTGTTGGTAGTCCTCGTTTTCCTTCCATTTGCCATATTCCTTTTCCTTTTATTCTCCTCTCTCTGGTTGAAAATTTAACTTTTAGTTGGTCATTTCAATGCAGATGTTAAAATTCATTTACCCCTGCTAACAAAAATAACGGACTTCATTCCCCTTTACAAGATTATTTTCAAAAAACTTGCTGTTGAGCATGTAAAAATGTTTGCATCAATATTTAAACAGCCGGAAATTTGTGCATTTTTTGGCATTTGGATCCACTCGAGTCATTTTGTATGCAAACTTAATTACAATTTCATTGGGTTTGTTATATAATATGTAGTACCCCTCTCGTACATATATCCCGCATCTGAAATAGTTTTCCACTTGTTTTTTCTGTGGGTTTTTTTCTATGCGCTGGTTGTAAAATGAAACTAATTCACTTTGGCGAGTAAATATTTAAGAGTCTCCATAGAGATGCAGAACTTTAAGTGCCCTCGGAGCGTGTGGGTGTGGGTTGGGCTGATCTGGGCTGGGCTGGGATAAAAGCTGCTCTTTTGCAAATTAAGTTGTCACTTATTCGGCATAAAATCAAATTGTAATTTATTACAACAAAATGATTATTTAATAACAATGGGGAGCTGCAGATAGATAGATAGATGGAACAGCAGAGCAGCCTCAAGTCCCATCCCAAAAGACTTGACAAGAACTCAGTGCACTTTTCATAAATATGCATAAGACATAGCAATAGAAAGAGATGGAGATGGAGAGAGTGAGTGTGAAAGAGATGCTGGGTGTGAGTGTCTGCATCTCTGTCTCAGTCTCGACATGATTTGTGGCATTTTCCGACTTCTGCCTGATGTCCCCATTTTCCAAACAGTAATTGTAACTGTCATGTTGTGTGTGTGTCAGCCTTGTGTCGTCTCCGAGAGTTAGAAATTGAAATTTATTTGCATTTTTGATTTGTCAGTCATCATAAATATGCAAGGACCAGGGCGGGAGGGACTCAGGGAGTACCAGAAACAGAGATAGACAGAGAAAGAGAGACAGGGAGAGAGCCAGTGAGCGCCAGCAAGTGGCATTTTGCTTTCTGATGAGATTTTTTAATGAACTTCACTCAGACCCAAACCCAGAACCCAAACCCAGACCCGGCCAATCCCAAGCCCTTACCAACCCCTAACCACTTAATATACCCAGCCTGCGAAGAATAAAAAGGGTATATTGTATGTGTCATTATTTGGAACTACCCATGAACGTCGAATAGAATGAGAGCTATCCGTATCTCTCAATATGAATAAAATGCTAGAGCAGTATCCTTAGTAGTTCTTACCAGAGAAACAAACAAAATTATATTTGGATTGGATTCCACTGCTTTCCATATATTTTGATGCTTTTAGAAGACTTCATATTCACTCAGACTTATTCTTAATGTGCACTAAGTTAGCACATTTCGAATGTGTTGAAATCGTAGGGCAAAATATGAGTAAGGGATAACCTTTCGTCGCAATATTTGTTATTATTTAATTCTTCCTTGTACTTCCCACAGTCTGTCCTAGAGGAAGCCACAAAAAGTGGCATTAATTGTTCTGATCTTTGCTTTCCAGCTTACGGCTTTTTCACAGTGCCAAGTTCAAAGCTAATGATGAGAAGCCCTTGTTTGGCTCGGTTCGCATGCTCCACGGCATACGCCATACGCCCCACGCAACATTCAGCGATTTTTGCTTTGATTGAAACTGAAACCGAAAAAGGATTTCAGTTCAGACTTTGACTGGGCTTAAAAGTTCAATGCATCTAGGCTTACCTGAAAAGGGAATTCGAGGCAGTGAGAACTAAAAGAGGAGCACAGGGTTAAAGCCAGAGGAAAACCCATTTGGTAAGCTCTCAATCCCCTGTCCAGGGTCCGTACCCCAGCTCTTGCTTGCATCATATTTCTCCAACTTTTTGTTTCTATTTATCTTATCCTGTTATCCCATTCTCCCTGCAGACAATCGAATGCTTTCATTTCCAGCACAGCACACATGGACACAAAAACTTGCACGTCACAAAACATCATTTGTTTCCCTTCTTCTGCTACTCTAGTGTTGGGGAATGGGAATAGAAATACCACCCCTCCAGGCTATCACTATTTCCACCCCCGCCCCCCTGTCCGTTTGGTGGGTGTGCTTGGAAATCATAAATTACCCCAAAAAGTATGCAACATAATACCAGAAATTTGTGTAAGCGCATTCTCAACGCATATTCTCTGGTATTGCGGGTTGGGCTTCCAAGGGTGGGAGAGTTGTTTTCCAGGGGGTGGGCTTAGAGGCAGTGAGACAACAACCCCAAGCGCATATCCCTTGCACTCGGCATGACCCACACACAGCTGTCAGGATTCGCAGGTTCTTCGAAAAACCCCTGAACCTGAGCTTCCCCCACCCCAACTCACAAAAGCGGTTAAGTAACGTTTGCACTAAATGCACTAAATAAATAAATAAATAAATAAATATAAGAAAAAGAGGATAGTTTTGGAAGCAGCAGCAGCTTAGATACTCTAACAGATATATTCCTCAAAAATTCGTCAAGAAGACTAAGAAATGTACAAACTACTGTTAAAGTTAACAACACCCAATGTAAGAGTATACATGCGTACAATTGTATAAATTCTAAATGAAGTTTGCTTTTGTTTAGCTTCCCCCAATGCTGGAATACAAACAAGAAAAATCTAAAAATATATTTTTCTTCCCAGCTCAAATGATTGTTACAATTGAGTTTTAGTCAGCCGTTGGGCATTCATATCGCTGCTTGGCAATACCTAATTTCACCAAATACTATACCAACGAACATTCGAGGAATTTTTGGGGAAAACATAATTTATAAGCTTAAATTACCCTTTCATATTTTCAGTTTGATGGTAATACGTTTTAATACTTTATATGCACACGAATTAATAAAAACCATAAACATTGTACATATTTCGTTGAATTTTTGTTTTACAAACTTCACAAACATGTGGCTGATTAACCACGGATTTCTTAAAATTTCCTTAATATGCACACGTGTACAATAGATTCAAGCCCCACACACGCACACACCCCAATGTGTATAAATACTTGTTATTTGTCTCGTAAATTTAACCAGATTGTTTCGGTTAATTACAAATTTCCCAAAATAGCTTTGCTGGAAAATCCAACCTGCGAAACAAATTTTTGTGGTTTCATGTAGGCCTTCTCATATTCAGCCGCAGCTAAAGTAAACTTTACCTCTTACAGGATTTATATATCCGCCCATCCCCACAGGCCACTTGATTTGCCAACAGTTTCATTTATTTTCACAAATTTATTTAGTTCTCATATTTCCAGCTGCCACTTGAACATTTATTCGATTGAATAGCAGCCAAAATCCAGCATGAATTCCCGAACATTTATGTACATTTATTTTTGTATGTAGTGTAGATATGTGTACTATAATCTATCAGTTGCCACATCCATCTAGGGCTCTGCCACACGAGCTCACTAATTGCAAGCGGTGCGTATGGGGAGGCACAACAAAAGATAGAGGGGAGAGAGAGATGAAATAATAACCCAATGGTACTCAAATGAAGACCGCTCCAATGGGGATTAAGTGAAAGCGGATGGGGTAGATGGGAGAGACTGGTGCCTGGGGAAAGCACTCATTTAAATTTCATGCTTATTGCCACAAAATAGCTCAGTTGGTGGCTGCCACCGCTGCTGTTGCTTTTGCTGTTCTGCTGCTCTTGCAACTGAAAATATTTTACATATGTATATCACTGACAAGCGACGACGGATCAGGAAATGGCCAGAAGAGGTCGGCGGCAAGGGTCATGGGCTGTGGGGATGTGGGAAAAAGCCGGGGCCAGCCAACCAAAAAACAAGCTTGGGGAAGCACCAAAATAACACCAAGGGACCCCATGTGTATATCCCTCTGTCCGGGTGAGTGCGAATATGTGTGCGAGTGTGTGTATGTGTGCTTGGTTAAGCTTTCAAGTAAAAATAGCAAAAATGCTGTCAACATAATAACGAAATTTTAACGCGCAGAGCGCAACGAGAGTCCCGCCTCGACTCGACACGACTCGTTTCGGGTCTGCACGGATCTCTTCTGGTTCTGGGACTGGGTTGGTCTGCACTGGTCTGGCAACGCCATTTCAACGCATCAAGTGATTGCTCTTTTTGTTAATTTATTTTTTTAATGCTCTTTTCTGGGGTATTTTTATCTATTGAAGGATTATGACATGCATAAATCATCAAAAGGCAGGCAGGCCACTGTACTTATTATAAAATGTACGATTTTAGATTGTAAAATAATTCTTTCTAAAAAATGTGTACTGAATTTTGATATGAAAAAATAATAACACAAGGTTGAAGTACATTTCGATCTCTAACAATTTTGTACAAAAAATGTTCCATAGGAACTAAAAATTAATTCTAATTAAACATTCCTTTGATATTGTCTGGCGAAGATTGGTTAAGATCAGTTCATATCCTTCGAATACTTAAGTGTACTTGACCACTCACATAACAATTTAAACTATGACTAACTAACATTGCTCTTTATTTTATAGATTGAGAGCATACAACGCTTCGTTCTCCCGAGAAAAGCATCCACTGAATCCGTTTTTTTGTGGTTCTCCCTATCCTTTACCCACTGGTCCACAGTGCCACTCCTCTCTCGACGACCCACTCTCGAAATATTCTGTGGAAAAACGTACGGCAAACTAAAAACTGAAATCCAGAAATAAATAAATTGACGTGGCTATGACGCTTACACGGTTGAGATGGGTAGTGGCCCAAAAGGGCGGGGGTTACAGTAAGAGGATGAGGAGGTTCAGTTTCTGGGATTGCAGGATGTGCAAGGACACAATCATCCGCGGCAAACCAAGCGGCCTGCACGGCTCCGGCTCCGGCTCTGAGCTGGAATCCGCTACTGCTACTAAAGCTTCTACTGCTCCTGCTCCTGCTCCAGTTGCTCGTAAATTCGGCATGAAAAAGTTGCACGAATAAATTAAATTTGTTTGCAGAGGAAAAAATACCCAAAAAAAAAAGAAAAAAATTAAAAGAGAGGAGAAATCTCCGTTCGTCTCCTCTCTGGCCACAGCAAATTGCCTGGCAAGCATGTGAGTGCATCTGTATTTAATTTTGCTATTTTAAACGAAATTTTCACGCTGCCTGCATTTGGATTTTAATTTATACATTCGTATACCTCAGCACGAACGAGGCACCCGGCGACTACGACCTCAGAGGTGGCGACGATGAGGATGTGAATGTGAATGACGAGAGGCGAAAGCGTCTGAGTAATTCATTAGGAATTTCACTAAGATGGTAATGAAAGCTCAACTAAAGATGGATTTAGATACAGGCAGAGAAGAACCAAAAAAGTGCATTCCAGGCTTTACTAGAAATAATTAAAGCTCTAAGTATTTGCTATATTCCAAGTGCGGATAATTTGTTCTCTGCAGCTTTATATATTGCATTATTGTGTAGGTATTACATCTATTTATACGCCCAAGCTGCTAACAATAAAACGAAAATATTTTGAAATTTTCTATTCCAAGAAATTTTACCGAGCATTGGGCTATGTTTAGAGCATATTATTTTTTAACATTTGTATAATAGTCTCTAGTTTGTCGTTTGGTTTCCAAGAGGCTCATTATGATCGTCGATTCGGGCTCTGCCCACCCCAGATACCCACAGATACTTTCATGCATAGAAATGGAATTTCATCTTCTGCTTTGGCTTGTAAATTACATTCTAGCCCCATTCCATCAGGTTTCTTTTAAGTGTCAGCCCCGATTCCACATCATCCAACGCCCCCGCTGAGCGATTCCGACAAGTGTTAAAGCAAAAAGGCGATTGTCGAGCCCAATCAGCCGTGCATCTCACGCAGCGTTAAGCGCGCTTCAATCGCCCCAAGTTGTTGCCCAGGTGATGGTGATGGTGATGATGGGCACGAAGAATTTCCACTACCTGTCCTGAACGTGCTAAATATCCCACAGACGCTTCATTCCACAGCCAACAAAAGGCTCATGCATTTGCCCGATTTCCATAGACCTTCCCGGCTGTCTGTACCCCTTGGTCTTTGACGCTGCCATGCCATGCCACTTGAGCGTGCAATTGGCCGTGCAACGAGTCCTGCAACAGCAGCAACAACACAAACAATCAAGCTGTGATTTGACACTTGAGCAAAGCGAACGATACTCGAAAGGAGAGGAGAGCGGAGTGGAGTGGAGTGGAGAGTCCCAAAGAGTGAAAGCAATTTTAGGCCAAAGTGCGTTTGAAAAGGTCTCCCCGATCCCCAGAGCAGCAGGGTGTCCGTGTCCCTTCCACAGAAAATGGAAATTAAATAAAACCAGAGGACACTGACCACCTGGATTAGCCACGTCTGGTGGCCATTGCCATCATCGTAGACATAGATATGGACAGAGAAAGAGAACACTACACAGCACTACACACAATGCCCCCGTCCTAACGACAGTCAAATATAATTATGGCCATAACAAGATGGAGACATTGTTGGGCCCAAGGAGCCCCACAATAAGCCCCAGGTCGGGGCCATTCGAGGTGCGAAGCAAAACGCAAAACAGCCGCAGAGCAAGTGTCACCGGCATCACGCTCCTGGGAGGGAAATCAGCTTCAGCAGAATGGAGTACACTGAGGGATATTCACTTGACTGTAATTGCAGAAAAGAAGAAAGTAAAAGAAAAGTTTAGAAAGTCTGGAACAGTGCAGACGAGAATTACTGGGAAGAAAATATATAATTAAAGTTTGAAAGTAAAAAGAATTTCCAAATATAAATGCCGAATTTTAGTTTTTATTGAGAATGGTAAAAATAAAATTTTAAAAACAAACTACATATACGATAAACGATAAAGATGTGTGTGAAAATTATAAAGATAAATTCTAAAAAGGAGTCTGAGCAATCCAATAGATTAGTCGTCATAGGACGATTCCTATATGTTTACACGAACTATGTTCACGTTGGAAAATACCCTTAACAGCTGCTTTCCTTTAAATCAAAAGACATTAAATAAATCAGAAGATATGAAAGTTATTAATTATATATGTCTTCTAGTATGTATAGGAAAGATATATTTTTCCTGCATTTCTTTTATGGAATCAAATATCAGACTTCCAAATGAACTCATTTTAAATCCAAGAATGGATAAATAACTTTTTCTTTTAGTGCATTCAATCCATGGTCACGAAAAACTCTTGCTGGGGGTAAAAGCAAATTATTATCATTTTTAAAAGTTGGCGAACTCATCCGGCTGTGGCTCGCTCGCTCCCCAGTCTCGTCTCCCTTTCCCGTTGTTGAGGTGACGATGCGCTTGTTTAATTAAGCCAGAAGCATGAGCAAAAGCAGCAGCAGAACCAGCAACAGAGACAGTTGAGAAAAAGGCGAATGATTCTGTGTAGAAAAAGGGGGAGGAAGGAACTTTTGCCGAGGTCATAAGGGTGGCATTGGCATTGGGTGGTTAATGGTGGTGGTGGTGGTTTTTCTCCCGATGATGGTGGGGTGGTTAACTCCAGTTGTAGTACAACTCGTACTCCCGCTGGTTCTGGATCTGGCTCTGGTTTGATTGCCACTCAACTGGGGATTTAAAATATGCGACAGGCGTAGCGCAAAAAGCAATCGAAATGGGATCGGGGGAAGGGCCATGGATGATGGTTACTGGGGCCGGCACAGGGACCGGGGTATAAACTGACAATCCCCGGCACTTAAACTATATACACGTGTTGTTTGCTTCCCTTTTTTTCCGCTCGCTTCTTTCGGATGGGGAAATCAAAGTTTTGCCTGTGTTCACCTTTGGATAGTTGTTCAAATATGTCAACAGTGACGATGGGGAGAGACAACAACGAAGACAGCGACAACTCTGGTGGAAAAAATTGCTGTGAAAATTTGCCAGACTGACGCAATTTATGGCCCTCGGTTGACATTTTGTGTTGCAATAACCCGAAGCAAGAAAGCCCAGGAAGAAGGGAAGACACTAAAGGAAGAAACCAAAGCACGCCAGCATGTTTCATATTTTGTCAACTACCAAAAGGGATTCAACTTACTCTCCTTGCGCTGACTTTTTTCTTTTCTGTTTTTTTGCTATCTTTTCTTCGAGATACTATCGTTTGAAGAAGAAACTTCATGCAAATGTAATTTTCTATGCTCTAATTTTCAAAATTATTCCACTCATGTGTTTCCTAATACGATTATATAACCTTCCATTTATTGTTTTGGTTTAAGACAAAAAATACAAAAGAATTCTTAATAAATGAGCGTTTATTTCTCTGCTTAACTGTTTACGTTCATTAATTTATTTTAAGAGAAATCTTTACCTTTTGAAGCAAATATTCGATTCTCTAAAGCTGATCTCTTTTTCTTTTTATACATCTGTATATCAATATGACCAACGATGTGTGTCTACTTCCAGAAGGGTACCTCCATCTTCGGTGGCTTCTTACCTCTCTGTGCATATCTGCGAGATGTTGACGGTGAAAATAAATGGAAAATTGTTGCAACAGAAGTGCCACTTGCAGTTGCATATTATTGTTTAGTTACCGAGAAAACATGTGTTTGGGCTCGCAAGAAAATAAAAGAAATAAAAGTGCAAGAACCGAAGGGATTTCCAATTTCTGTGCTCGAAATATGCAGGAGAAATGCTTCGGGTTCCTTCTACGTCTCTCCCTTTGGCTATATGTATCTCTTTTATAGGTCAAGTCATGACCCAGTGGCTTGGGGGGGCTTTGCCTTAGTTTTGGGGCACACCCCCCGGGCACAACCTTGAGTGAAAAATATTGTATGCGACCAAAGTTAATGTCTGTTTACGTTTACCGTTGGCTTTGCGCGCTGTAAACATGTATTTTTCCCATTTTCCCAGCCTCGAATGTGTAGAGTTCCACAGAGGGCAGAGGGGAGGTGCCTTCACTGGAGGCGTGGCACAGTGCACACGCATTTGGGGCCAAAACTGTGGGGCGTTAACAAAGCCACTCCGTGGCTGGGGCACACTCTAGGGGCACTCCACCACCACCGGCGACAGAACGAGACAGAGATAACTTTGGACATTTGCTTGCCTGACGAGGAGGGTTCCTTGGGGTTGTGCTGGCCAGGGTCAGGGGCTGTGGGGAGTTTCTCCGAGTCGGGGGTCACCCAGGTGGACAAATGACAAATGGCAAGCGTTTAACTCGGAATTGGCTAAAAGTGCTGCACTGCAGTCGTCCACGCTAACGAAAGAGCACGAAAAACTTTCCATTTGCGGGAGAGGAGAGCAAGTTCTACTCGAATGTCAAATGTCGAGGAATTCTCTTTGACCAAAGTTGAAACACAGAAAGACAGTTGATTTTGTCGTTGCGAAAGTGAATTTCAATTTCAATTTAGCCTTCAGATCGGATTGAGACTGCTGGAAAGTTGAACCTTAACAATATCAATTACCTTTCTTACTTCTATATCAAGGGGAAAACAATTTTAGATTTTTATAGAAATGTTCAAAAGTATTTGAGCTCTTCAACGGAATTGATTCCCGTATTTATTGTTCTCATTTTTGACTCTTTATCACTATCTATTCTTCAACTAGTTCCTTTGCTACTGAAATTCTTCTATTTATATAATGGAACGGAAGTCCAACTTCAAAGACTTGACACCTTCCGTCTGTCCGTCCTGTCCTTCATTCTGCCAGACCACTCCACCACTCCACTGCTCATTCCGCTCCCCCATGTGCGATATTCATTCCCACTTCGCGGCCTTCCCTATCTGTCTTACCCCCCGCTACCATCATGACAGCGCCCTGTGGCTGCTTTTAATGGCTTGGTCCAATTGCCTCAAAAGCAACTTTGAAATGCAAAAATAAATGCGCTGCGATAAAATGCAAAAACAATAAGAGAAGACCCGCAAAAACAACAACAAAAATACCAGCAAAAAACAACAAAAATACGAACAATATAGTATACTGCACAGCAGTAGTAAAAGCAACAACTACGGAAAGATCTACAACATTTGCTACAACAACAACAATAATTTAAAGGCAAACACAACAAGGACAACTTCATTACGCCTGATTTAAGGACAATTGTAGGCGAACACCTAAAAAAGGGCGACCATACTGTAGCAGCCGGATGAGGGCAGCAGCAGCACTGTGTGAGAAACGGAGGCCGTGGGCAGGAGTTCGGCTCCGTTCCTCTTTGCTTTTGGTGCGTTTTATTTATTTAAACGCATTTGTGTAAATTATCATTTTAAATTGCTGCCAGAAGAGGAGTGGCAGGCCAAGAAAAGGAAAAGGATCGGAGCGGAGCGGGGTGGAGGAATGGACCAAAAGCAAGGCAAAGTAAAATATAAATAAATGAATGTTGCTTATACGCACAACAACGGCATCAGCAGCAGCAGAGAGACTCAGTCAT